AAATGTCTTACTAACCCAAATGTTTGAACAATAGATATGTAAAAACTAGACAATTTAATATACACTATCATTTTTTGACTGCTGTTTTTTGTTTTAGTTACTGCTTACTTACTAAAGTGCGGAGTCAAACACATAACTGTCATATAATATGCAAAATGAGACAACAGAAACATTTTATCGTATATTAATTTTAGCCCAATGAGTTAATAAAATTTTATGAGTTGACTACCAAAATCAGCTAATTCGATATTGGTAACTTTTGTCAAAAATCAGATTTATTTAGGTCTACTAGGAATCCTTCACAGACTACAGTCTGAGAACCACTGATTTAGGATTATACTTGGGGTTAGAAGTTTTAAAAACCCCTAACACTAAGGGTAAAATAATAAATGATAATAGCAGATTAAAATAACTCAGATATGTCTATGAACAAAGAACAAATGTAGTGAGCGGCTCTATAGCAGTTAGAGTGACTCTTTTCTGATGGTGTTTTCTGGTGAAAAGGAGGTGCTGCTCCCTGTCTGTGGATGGCAGTACTACAAGCTGGTGTGAATGTGCAACTTTCTCACCCGAGGAGGAGGTTTCTTCAATAACACCAGCAGAGCCTGCAACACCAGGTTAGAGAACCGTGGCCCGATGGGAACAAAATCTGTGAAGTGGAGAAACATCAGAGATGAGAAGACAGTATTGAGTAGGTTTGGTATGCAGACCAAGCATTACATTGTATATTGCCATCACTTCAAATAAAACAAGAACAAAAACTAGACAAGACAGCCCCTCCAAATCCATATAAATAATAAATAAAAGGGCACACATAAGGGCCTTTCGCACCGCTTTATTTCCAGAACTAAATATACAGTACTAAAGTACTGGGACGATTTTGCGCGAACTATTTCCCAGTACCATTTAAAGGGTTGCATTCGCACCGAGAATGTGTACTAAGAAGTGACGTAAGCCGGTCGACAGCGTCGTCATTTGTGCGTGGCGTTCAACAACATTAACAACAGGAGGATGGAGGACGCAGTGATCGGAACTGTGTTTTTGTTGTTTCTCACGGGTTTCACAATAATGGACATGGAAAGTCGACGTATACGTAAAGCGATTGAAAGAACGGAAAGGAGGACTTAAAGAATCTCCAACGACAACTGACAGTGCTACATTTGCTACAAGTGTCTGCACTTCAGCGTCCGTCCATCTATCGCTGTTCTCCATACTTGCGAAATAAGTTGACACAATGTTTACAGTATGTTTACACGGCGTTTTAAATCATGGCGGGTGAGGGTGTTTTCGTACGCGTTTGGCCAATCAATGTCTACTAATGTCACGATTAGTACCAGTTGTGCTGGTTAGACCCTGCTCCTGAGTAGGAGCTAATTTGGTTCTCGAAAAAGGCAGTCCGGTACTAAAATCGCACCCAGTTCCGGCGGTACGAAAACGCCAACAAGTGGGTAGTTCCACAATTAGTTCTGGTACTATGAAAAGGTTCCCGTGGTGCGAAAGGCCCTATAAAGAGCACAGTGATGTTTTTGAACGTATTATCAGATTTGACAGGAAGTGCATCGTACTCGTTGTGCCAGACTCACCCAGAAGTCTTTCTATATCGTCCACCACCACACAGCTCAGTTGGGACTTGTAGGCATCCTCGAATATCTAAAGAGATGAAAACCATAAACCCACTATTAAAGGCCAGCAGCTGAAATATCACATCAGAAACATCCCCCATGACAACTGCTTTCAACATGCACAGATCTCGTAATGTCTTAACCTACAGCGACGAGGTTGCTACCTTCTTGATGGCCTGACATTTGGCAGTCTCTGCAAAGCCGATCATTTTGTCTGGAGAGCAGATCTTGATGAAGGGGAACTGGGAGTCCTCTGCGATCTTGGCTGCCAGTGCGGTCTTACCACTGTGAGGAGGCCCTGAGGGAGCGGAGAGCATTCACACTCTCAGTCATATCAGATTGCAGCATTATGGTGCATGTTTGCTTGTGTGAACCAGAGAAGAAGAGCAGGGAAGAATGCTGTTCCCTCAGTGTTTGTGTGTACATGTGTGCAATGTATGTGTGCAACTGTAACTTGTCAAGCTATAAGTTAATCATAAATTTACAGTCAGTATTTGTGGAATCATCAAATCTCAAATGCTGTTATATAATTAAATAAATATAGGTTCAGTGCATTTCAGAGTGAAGTGCAGCACTGTGTTCATTACACGATCCAGTGTTTTCAGTGTCTCAGAACGGCTTTGTTCATAGTAAATGTCTAAACAAATTCAAGTTTTTCTATGCTTAATTTAAGAGAGAAAACAGAGATTTTTTTACTTACTAAAAAGGAAATGTAACACTGTAAAGTGTTAACACTGTTTGTGTGTAAGACTTGCCTTCTAAAAGCACAGTTACTAGCGGTGTGCGTTCACTGTTCTTGGTCTGTTGCACCAAAAGGTCTCCATCTCCTAGTATATCAGACACACCATTGCTCCATTTCACAATTCCGTTCATGATGTAACTTGAGTAATCCTCCTGATTAGAGCCAAAAGCCTTTACAGAAAAACAGAGAACTGCATTAAATATTAAAGTCTCAGGTGGCCCATTCAGAGTGTAGAATGCATAAAATAATTCACCAAACATTACTTTACATTTTGGATGTAAATAATAACAACCTTAAGTCTAAGTGGGCGGTTGTTTGCCAAAATGAACTCCAATGTGGGCCAGACTTAATGCCGATAGTGAAGTTTGGCTGCATGAGATCTAATCAGGGGATTGGGATTCAACATATTATGCAAACTGAATACACAACAATGGAGAGTGGACTTACAGGCTTGATGTCATTATTCAGAGAGGCCAAGAAGTCACTCCTGCTGACTTCCAGCATCTGAGCCTTTTCTGTGTCCACCTCCACCCGAGTAGTGGCCTACAGGAGCAAAAACACACAGATTGATCCTCAAACTCATCAACTTAATCAAAATTAAAGGTCTAGAAGCAAGAGAAAGACAGACCTATTACACCTGTGTAAGCTCCATCAAATATGGGAGCATTATGTGTCAACACCATCAAATATGGGCATGTGTGAGCTGCTAACACACACACGCACACACACACACTTTGTCTAGCTACACCAAGATATCCATAGGCTTCTAAAATGCTTCTAAAAACTTGTTTTCATATAAAGCAAGATTGAATTTGATTACAATTCACTACCTCAAGCATTGAAACAATCTTTTCTTATATTCACATAAAAACCACAGCATTTAGATGGTATTCAAACGTGTAACGCAACATTGCTGTAATCTGATGTAAACTGCATTTTATTTGTATAATAAACCAATTTTTGAGATAAATTCCAACCGGAGTTCAGAACTGATTTTGTTTAAATCAACCATAATTAGTTATGACTGTGGTGGTGCATTGTGGACGAGATGATGAGATCAGACCTTGATGTGACGGTTCATGGCAGTCGACTGGGCTGCTCGCACAAGCCCTTCCAGCTCTGCTCCGCTGTAGTTCTTGGTCTCAACAGCAAGCTCCTTTATGTCAACATCTTTGGCCAGCATGTTTGCCTGACTCATTTTTGCAGTGTGGATATTCAGGATCTGAACACGGCCTGTCTCATCAGGCAAGCCTGGAGAAGGATGATTAGACAACTAGTTGTTTCAGAAACCTTGAATATGTGACCTATTGAAAAGTCATTCCGTTCTCACCGATCTCCATTTTGACCTCCAGTCTACCCGGCCTCAAGAGGGCTTCATCGATCAGGTCAGGCCTGTTGGTCATTCCTTAAAACACAGTACGATTTCATAATGAAAACAAAGCCAAATCAATGAACAAAACATGAAGCATTGTCATTCTTTATGCTGGCTGATTCCACAGGAAGTTCTCACCAATGACCAGGATGTTGTTGAGCTGGTCTACACCATCGATCTTAGACAGTAGCTGGTTGACTACAGTGTCGTGGACCCCAGTGCTGCCTGCCATGCTGCCACGTTGTTTACAGATGGCATCAATTTCATCAAATATGATGATGTGCAGTCCACTGTTGGCCCCCAACTTCAAAAGGCAAAAAAAGAGACAGAAAAGGATTGTAACCGGGAATCCATAATTTCAAAATTGTCATATGAAAGTTCACTTGCAATATTAATATAGAATATTTTTTTTAGATTTATTTTTGGTGTTTTTGCCTTTATTATGTTAGGACAGTATATAGTCATGAAGCGAAGTGGGAGTGAGAGTGGGGTGGGATCGGGAAAGGTCCGCAAGCAGGGACTCGAACTTGGGACGCCCAAAGCGCAACTGCGCTATATGGCTAACAGTGCCAATATATATTATTGTTAAAGGTTGTGATTTTAAAATGACAAATTAAAAGAAGTGGGTTTTTTTTTGTTTTTTTTACATTAAAAGTATTTAAAAGGTATTTATTAAAAGCACTTGTTACACTAATAAATGAAAGTAATAAGCAAGTAATATACTATTATAATATGTATGTCAATGATTTGAATTATCTTATATTTGAAAATGTTCAGTTTTCATTTTAGTTTACGTTTTAGTGCTTGTCAGTACTATATTTTTTGTTTTGCTTTTTAAATATATTTCTATTTACCTTTTATTTAAATTTTACTTCAATTTTAGTCATTTTAGTATTTAAACGTAAACTTAGGTAAAAGTACATTTATTTTAGTTAGTTGCCAAGCCCTTGTGAACATTTCTACATTTTAATTTAACTCAAGTGTTTAAAAGTTTTTCATCAAATATTTCTATTAATTAGAATATTTATCTTTTATTTTATTACAGCTTTATTTAAAATAATGAAAACATTTTTTAATAGTTTTAGTTTGTTTTAGGTAACAGTAAAACCACAGAATAGAATAGAATAGAATAGCATTTAAAATTTTTAATTTTTTTAATAGTTTTAGTTTGTTTTAGGTAACAGTAAAACCACAGAATAGAATAGAATAGAATAGCATTTAAAATTTTTAATTTTTTTAATAGTTTTAGTTTGTTTTAGGTAACAGTAAAACCACAGAACAGCACAGAACAGAATAGAATGCAATTTAGTAGCAGAATAAATAGCCTTAAAGAAAAATAAAAAGTCAGGTTAAATGACAAGCCTAAAAACTCTAATTTTGTTTTGATGTCCTCTTAAAAACTTAAAAACGCGCATAGTTCTCTTGAGCTCCCTGCTTAAAAGGCAGGTTGGTGAATGGACTGTGACTGTATAAACTCTGTGACAATGGCCCACAATTAAGAGTTATCTTCTTCATCTGGGAGGCTGTCAGAGGCTAGGTCGTAACATTTAGCACAGATGGGAGGCCAGGATGAGTGTGCGTGGCCTCCCGTGAGTCAGGGTGAGGGGTTAGAGATAGCCCAACACTCTCATTAAGAGGTGACGAGTGAGCTCTTCCACGTCATGTAGTCACACTGTCTACCAACACAACATCACACTCAAGCACGGCCAGAACCAGCAGTTCACTGCCAACACTTCTTGACACATCACCCTTGAGAAAAAAAAAAAACTATGATCATGTTTCTAAGCAAACACTAGGCCATTTACAGTAATTCAGTAAGTATATTTCAGCAATTTGGAGTTATTTGTAGAGCTGCTGGAGGGCCCAAAACTGGGAACAGCATCCTTCGTACAAACCTAAGTTTGCTCGCCATGACTTTTTTGACTGTTGACAGAGCAACCTTTCTTTAAAGTGTCAAATAGCGGTGGTTTCCGTCACAAAGCCAGATGAATGTAAGGTTGTGCAAAATGTATGGCCTTTCTAAAATAACAGTGATTTGTGAAGTGCATGAAAGAATGGAGGTTTTTCATAATTTGCATGCAATCTCTTTTCCCTGCATCTTCTTTCCTGGTTTCTTACCCTCTTCTGTTCTTCCTCTGCATCAGCAAACAGCTTTCTGATGTTAGCCTCTGACTCGCCCACATATTTGTTCAGAATCTCTGGCCCGTTGACCACCTTCGGCTCTCTGGCATTCAGCATCTTACCAATCTGACGCGCCATCAGGGTTTTACCACAGCCGGGCGGCCCAAACAACAAGATCCCCTTCACGTGTTTACAGCCTGTGGAAAGAGTCAAAACCGGAGGGTATGAAACATAAGACATTACAAAATGGTATAAGCATCAATGACAAACTGTATAAGAGTGTTCACAATAAATAAAAGGAAAAGTCTTTTAAGAAACGAGTTTAAAACATGCCCAACTCATGTCATGTTGTATAACCAAGTAAAAAGACAACACATTTTATCCTTACACCTTGAATACAGGTAAATGCACACAACTTAATCAGTTTTTTTTTTTTTTTTCTAAATAAAAAAATTGTTGGTGCAAAAAATTGTATGCCAGGAGTCAGGACGACTAGGCTGTGCCCAGGTCTCCGGAACCTGC